AAGCTGTATTCTCCAGCTTTCCTGACATAGTTCTACCAGTTGCACTTAGTTCCCCACAGAGAGGATTTTGATATTTATTGGATCACAAAAAGATTAGGATTTTGTTTTCTAATGGCCAGGAAAAGGTAGAGAGAAAGAGGGCAGTGTTCTTCTATTTTCCATCTGAAGGTTGCTTCCTGTAAAGTTTGGAGGAGGAGACTGAACCCTAGTCTCTCCAGTCCTGTGTAAGGGTTTTCATCACTGAGTTAACAGTCAAAAGGCTCATGTTCTGTGCCTCTTTTAGCTGCATTTTGAGTTATATTTTGCATGGATGTCAAGCCTGCCTGTGATGTCGAAAGGAAGAAAATTATACTGGTTAACTTGCTTTTTGTTTTGAAGCCATGGAAACAGAGGTGGAAAGCTCCTAAAAAACCTAGAGTGTGGAATTTGAACTATATTGTATAGTTGCTTGGTTGTCTGATTTTCTGATTTATAACTTGGATTGGTCAATGCTGGATAATTATCAAGTGAAAGCTCTGTCCTTACCTTGCCTAATTTTCATACTAAAATTAACTCCCATTTGTGCATAATGTGTTTGGAAATATAAGACCACCTTAGTATAATGAGTGAAGTAATAGTTGGAGCATGTGTAAAAGAACCTTTGTTGTATGTTTTTATAGCCTATCATGATTTTTGTTGCATGTGTTTCCTTATAACAGAATTATATAAAACCTTGGCTTGTCTCCCTTGAGGGTGTGCTGGCTGCTTTAGATGCCTAGCACCCTTTTCTGCGCAGAATCAAAATAAAGACAAATATCTGTGTGTTGATTGGCACTTTGCACACTGGGTAGAAGGACAACCTGTGAATGTTAGAAAGCATACTATGAAAGCACCTGCGCGACAGATTTCCTGTGGGAGCATAGGGGAGCACTGCCTACATCCTGCGTTCTGCCTGGTCGCAGGTTGGCTTCAGGCTGCCAAATCATTTTCGTAGTCTTTTCGGCCTGGTTAAGGGAGAAGTTCCTCTCCCCTTAACCAGGACAAGGACTGGTGAGAAAATCATCAATAAGCTTTATGTTAAGGGAAGAATAGAAACCTTAATGATTTTTTTTTTTAAATTACATCTTTTGCTTCAGAATTCACCTGTGCTTTATAGGCAAATTCGTATGAGATTTTAGGTGCCTGCAGGGCATTTCAGCAGAAAGTAGGCACCCAAATCCAAAAACACCCTCTTGAAAACAGTTCCTGAGATGCCTAACCTAACCAACAAAGTTTCAGCAGGTCATGCTGAAAATACTTCCCAAGGAGGGCACTACAGGCATGGTGGCAGCAAAGCCACTGCTTTCTTCTGAAATATGGCCAAAGGAGCAGCCACACTAGGCTTTGAATAAAAGCACTCATTTGTGATGTGGGAAACCTCTGTTCAAGTACTTTTTTTTTAATGTAGCTTCAAGCCCCATGTTCTTGTGATTTGAAATAATTCAGTTTTCTGCTAGTGAAATATTTAACACAAGATCTATTCAGCTGGAGATGGAGAGCAAGCAAAAACCCAGTTCTGTATTGTACTAATTTGGACACCCATCTTATGTGGCAAGTGTATTCTTGTTTTGGCACAAAGAACCTTTTAAGGTATTTTTTTTGGCATTTGACACCTAATTCATTATTGACCTTTATATTGTACTCTGCTCTGGGATATTCATGTTTGGGAGAATCCTTAGATACTGGATTACTAAAGAGATCATGTACTTAGCTCTGCAGCTTTGAGTTTTCCCATAATAGCCGGTCTAGTATAAGAGATGGGGTGCTTGTGCACACTTTTATACATGCATTTGAACTTCAGGAGATATTTTTATGGGTTTTTTTTTTTTCAGTTTAACGGGAGTGAAGAGAACTGGTTGTTGCGTTAAGAGGCAGATGCCCAAAATCAGCGTTAGTAGTCCGGTCGTGCCCAACCCCTTTCGTTGGACTCTCACGGGTCCGGATGCACTACTAACATTGCACTACCTGCTCAGCCGGACACCTCCTGAACTCACACGGCCGCACTCAGAGGTACGGTCGCATTCAGGGACAATACACACACGGCTGAGTCAATCAATAGTGCGATTTATTGAAGCAACAGATGCACAAGTTCTTTGGATCGCCGGTGATAAATTCACTGTCTGCAAGCAAGTGCACTAAATTGATTACGGTCGGGTTACACACATGTGGGGTGATGAAACAACTCTAGAAATTCCTAAAATTCCTGCGGATCCACTTGGGATAGCCGAGTGTTCGAATCTTACCCAATGGGGGGGAAGAGAGGGTCAGCCCGTCAGCAGATCCTAAAAGTCAGGAGTGATGGTGTCTTCCCTGACATCCAGCTCTTTTCACACTATTTTATAGTGTTTTACTTTGCAGGTGGAGCTTGCGTGACTCTAGTCATACATACCTTTATCAGAATTGCTTCAGAATTCTCTCGCTTAGCGTTTAAAGGTACAGACTAGGAAAGATTCAGTGCGCACGCTCATTGAGGGGTGGTCGCACCTTGGGAGGTGGGTAACTTTTGAGAGGGGTGTGCATTTTAGTATTATAATGATATTATAATAAGCAAAGTTCACTCCAACTACAGCATTTCATCAAAGTTGACAGGTCACTGACCCAGGGCATCGCACGTGCAGCTTATTAATGTACACACTGTGTACCTTTAAATTCCTTTGTTCACAGAGCGTGGCTGCGATGTCTCCACTCCACCCTCCATGCAATTTCTCCCGGAGTCAGCACACCAAGTTCCCCTGATGTTGCCAACACCTAGGGTTGCCTAGGGAATTGCCATGGAACAGACTCATTGTACACTAGCCATGTTCCACCCTGTTTCAATGCTGTTCTTAGAGGGTAAATTTCCAAACTGCCCCTCAGCGATTACTCCATACTGGTGTAGTCTTAATGCTCAAGTAGTATGTCAGACCAACCCTCCTGGTGCTGAAGGCTAAAATCCTCTCCTGACAAGCATGACAGAAAGGGAGGTGGAGGGTGATGCTAACTTCCTCACTATTCAGATTGCCTCGGATTATTTCTGAGAAGTCTATGTTAAGATTTAAGACATGTGCCAGATATGTGCTAACTTCTACTCTTTTCACAGGGTTGCAAGTCAGACGACAGTTAACATTAAGAAGGTGGTTTTGTTCAGTTCCTGAAGATGTGGATGCAATCCACCATTGACTTGTTTCCCTCACTGGAGCTATTGAATCCCCATTTTCTCAATAATGTACAAACCTTTCAAAATGTAGTACATTCTACCTAATACATCATATTATACCTGTGAATTTACATGTATACACGTGTGCACTTATGTATTTTCTAAACAGTGCTGATGTGTTCTTACCATGCATTGCACTGTCTGGTCCATAGTGTTCCTTCATGACTGTAGTGTTAATAATGCAGGCTGAAATAATTCATCCTTATATTTAGAACTGGATAAATAAAATAGTGCTCATTTAGGGGTAGCCTTAAGTGCTTTGTGATGGTTTCACTGCAGTTAAGTTATGCTAATGATAATCTTCTAGAGATGTTTTTTAAAATGCAATGTAGTACACTTTCTTATGGAATATGGGATGTCTCTTGCAATGAGAGATATATTTGGTGCTTGTCACTAGTTGGAGACAATCTGAGAAACACACCCACCTCAGATTTGATTTAGAAATGCAAGTAACTGTCTACAGAATTGTAATGCCTGGCTTTTATAATTTATTTAAATTTAAATATGGGAAGTAACGTCAATAGCTTTACTTATAAAATAGAGTTGGATTTTAAAGGGGCAGAAAGGTTCCTAGAAGAAAATTGAAGAGGCTTATTATATTGTAAAGTTGTCAACACCAGCACATTCTGTGTAAAATGAAAGCTGTTAGGATGACCATGTTTTCCACAGAAAAAGCTGAAAATCCTTTTATGTCTTATATTTTGTTGTTGAGTTGTGTCATAATTTTAAACTGCCACTTTTTAAAGTAAATTATTCCTTCTTATCCCAGATGAATCACATCTGCTGCTTTCTTTGTATCTGGAGTAGTTAATACCTGTAATTTTAGTCTAGCACCAAATCTATTAACGAATTGAAATTTAATAACAGTATGGCATTCAGTTGAGGCCAGGTATTTTTACTTCCTTTCCTGAGAGGACTCAGTGGGAATATATGTGGAGATGAGTCCTATAAGGCAAGAGAGTTAACTGATTAATTTCTAAATTAACTAGTGACCATAGTCTAAATTTCTTGCAAATCTAAACTAACAGGATAGGCCAACTTTACATCAGAGGAAGATGGAAAAAGTAAGACGAACCTTCCTGGATGTTCATAGCAGGGATAAATTACAAGTAGGGTTTATAATAGGTTACAAATGATACAAGATTCCCTAGAAACCTCATTAATGAAAATGCCATTTGCACAAGCTGGCAGCTGTAGCAGGGACACAATTTATTCCTCTGTGAATCTGGGTGCCCTAGATCTGTCCTGCCAGCTTTGCAGAAACGTGGTGGCAGTAACCTTGTAAGCCATACTACTCCTGCCTAGGCAGACGCTAACTCACCAGACTAACGCAGTCAGAGCTGACAGAAGACTATAGCTCCCATAAGTTGAAGATGATAAATTTTTAATTACCCTGTGCAGCAGTATCTTGCAATTGTGTTTTTATTTTTCAGAGAGGGAGCTTCTGTTAACTCTCCAAACACCAAAACCTGACACAAACAACAGAATGAATTTGCTGTCCCTAAAACGGTAAGACCTGTGAATCTCTTGGGTCTTCCTGGTTTGGCTTCCCGTGGCTGACTGCTGTGTGTTTGATTACAAATCATTCTTATGGATGGAGCAGTTATTTCTGTTGCGTACAGGGACAGATCTGTTGCCAGTCAAATTTCTCCCAAAGGGTTCAGTACACGTAGAGAATAGGAGGAGCATCAGCAGCATTACGGATTGCAGCAAACACACCTCACGCAAAAGGCAGAAGAGCATAAAGGAGAAGACATTAGAGAAGAGAAAGAGGAAATGCAGTGACTGAGAGAAAACTATGCTGCTTGAGGAAGAAAAGACATAAACTGATAATCAAGTACGTCAGGCATTACACAAGCAACATGTCTCGGCCACCAGGAAGAAAGCAGGAGAACCACAAAATAGTAAGACATTTTTGTAATGTGCAAATGAAATTATGCATGGAGTAAGAATAACCTATTATTATATTGATGTGTTTTATACAGTCAAATTTACAAATACTCTGAAAGTACTGAAAGGATGGGGATGAGTCTGCCAGTATGAGAACAGAGGAGCTGGCAGCATTTATGGTTACAGTGGGACCCCCTTGCAAGCTGCCAACAGGCTGCCAGCTATTAAGCAGTGACAGCAGTCTGTTTGAGCAGTAATACTGAGATTTGCTCTAGGAGCCTTCATATCTCTCCAGCTACCTGGCCTATGACATGAAATGATTTTCAGACAGTCCTGCACTCAACATGAATCCTTGAGGCCAGAACTTTGTTCTTGTTTTGAAGAAAAGAAGCTGCACCGGCCACATCTCTACCCCATGAACAGTTACAGGAAGAGATGGTTCATCTGGGGGCTGCAGCATACCTGATGCCCATTGTGTGCCACCTGCATAGCAGACCATGTCTTCTTTTGGGGGTTATGTTGCATGAGCAGGTGTCCTTCTTCATCCTCCTAATATTGCATTTTTTCTGTGCGCAGGGAGTGTACCATCACAAGATCTCAGCATCTGGCTTTAAGGCCAAAATCTGATTCTTGGGGAGACAATGGTAAAACTGTAACTGTTGTCTTTGAATGTTGGCTTTTACCATTGATCACATAGCACAGAATTCTACCAAGTGGAAGTTATATAGACCAAAACTTCCTTCTTCTGCACTTCGTGTTAATATTCTCCTAGAGGTCCAGCAGTTGTTTTAAACATGCTGCATGCAAGATTTTCCCAAGAGGCCTTCTTAAACTGCATGGTCACAAAAGGCGGTATTTTGTGCCATTAAAGATACCAGTTATTCTCCTTCTTGTTCTCTGGCAGTGGTGTGTCTAAATACAAAAAATTCAAATAACAAATTTCCTCAGAATCTCTTATCTGTTGTTGAAAATCTAACTGTTTAGGAATATTTTACCACAAATACAAAAAAAAAAAAGTGACATAATGCAGAAATAAGGTCACAGTGATTTAAAAAAAAAATAGTACTGTAATCTTGAAGATAATATGTTTGCATCTAAAAGTATAATTATGACACATATATATATGTATACATATGTATAACAAACTGAAGAGAGAGAAAGTTGCTAGTAAGGAAAAGGGAACATAGGCAACTGTAGAAGACTGATAACAAAAAGTGACTGTCTCACTCACTGGGCACTTAACTGCATTTTTTTTACTTTAACCCTAGTGGTGAGGTTCTGAACAAGCTTAGAAAAGATGGGCACAAAGTTTCTGAGGCTGGGTTCTGTTCAGAAGCAGAGGTCTAAGTGCTTAGAGATTTATGGTCAGAGATAGAAATGCCAGGTAAGTTTATGTGCCTCTGTGCTTAGCTAGTCATTAAATGAAACACAGAGAGAAAGATGTCTTTGTTCTTTATTTGTATGGTTCAATACCACACAAGTCTTTCTTCAGGAACTTAGAGCTTTAAGGGCTGTCTGGATGGTTAGTGGTGATTTTTGACAGAAGTTGGGGCAGTGGAAAAGTTTCAGAAAGCTTTAGGACAGTGTTGTGCCAATTTCTGAAAAGGGGACAGAGATCTCCATTTAAAAAAAAAAAGACTATAATTAAAGTTAATATACATAAGTTTATGGGAAAAATGCTCCAACTGATTGCAAGAGTGGCTGCTAAATACAATTATGTTGATATAGTATGCTTAAGTTTCTCTAAGGTATTTGTCTTCTTACAACACAGACTTTTTGCTGAGACTAGAACAATACAGAACCTGTATGACATCCACTTACTCCATTAAAAACTTGTTAATGACAATTTGGCAGTGTGCAGTATTATTGTAAACAGGAGTTATCACCAAGGCGAGTTTACACAATGGTTCCACACTACTTAAGATTTTGAACAGCGACTTGTTAAAATGGGAACATGGATTAAACTCCAGACTTTTCATGCAATGGGACCAGGAAGAGGTCTTTCCACCAAGATGTTCTTCCTTTCCTTGTGTGATTTGTTCTGTCATTTTCATTGGTATTCACTATTATTTTTCCAGAGGCTATAAGCAAAAATCATCTCTAGTCTGCCCACATGCCACAGGCCTGTAGCACTTCCTTTAATTAATTCTTGTCCAAGAAGTTTAGTGAGAGTCAACCCAGGCTCTCCCTTAAAGGCCAGCTGCTATTCCTGCTAAATACAGTCAATTCTGCAGTGCCATTGAGGGGATCTGGCAGGGCAGGGAGGGAAGAAAACTTTCCTCCAGTTGGTGCAGAGCTAAAGATCCCAGACTAGCGCTTGTGACAGGATCTGTGTAGGGATATGCCTTTAAGCTCTTCAGTTGCTCTCCATGCTTTTTGGACAGGTGGCTGTAATCCTCCCCCATGCCCTTCCTCTTGCTCATGCAGTGGAGCCAAACCAACCACGTTTTCTGTATTAAGATGCAGAAATAATGTCACAGTGAGATTGTCCAGGCATTTGGAGAACTAGTATTGATAGTGATTCAAGTTACTTGTAAAGTCTGATAAAGAAGGGGAATTGTCAATGGGACTGATTCTTTTCTTCTTTGCTTGTTATTCTTTACACTTGTGCTGAATTATAGTATTTTTTCATTACTCTCAGCTAATGTTTTTTATGTTTTTTTGGGGGGGCGCGAAGCAGCTGGCGATCTGAATAGGATCAACCATACCTTTGTGAAGGAACTGGAATTTTAGTGTATACACTGTTGTTCCTATTGTAAAAGGACTAATAGCCCATTGCCTCAATTATTCTTCCTGCAACTAAACACTTGTCATTAATCTTAGATGGCATTTGACAGCATTTATCAATCCAACATACATATGTGCTGTTACAGGATGCAAGAATGTACCTGGTGAAAGTAGGTGTATCCCAAGAAATGGTATTTCTGACAAGCAAAATCCTTGCACAGAGGCTCAAGTGATGATCAAGTCAGACTCTGTCACACTTGAATTGTGGTTTTCAGTGATCACACACCCATGGACAAAAGTTTCTTGATTAATGTAAATGTTAATTCTTATTGCTTTTAATACAGTAACAGCTCAAAAGTGTGAAAAGGTTTGATTCTAGATTGCTTCATTTTGATTTCCACCTTTTCTGGCAGAGCAGAGAACTTTTTGTACTCACATATGGGGCTTTGGTAGCCCAGCTGTGCAAGGACTATGAAAAAGATGAAGATGTCAACACCTGTTTAGATAGAATGTAAGTACTGCTTTAAATATTCAACTTTATTGCTAATGCTATTTGTCCACCTATATGTTACAGACCATTTTCTGATGCTAAGGCAGAAATTACTACAGGTTAGTTTTAGAAGATGCAGAGACGTATTTTGCTCCTTGTGTGTTTATTATTATAGCTGTTTTTATAAAATCTTTTTGGTTTTCTCTCAATAAAGAGAAAGACTTGATAAAATAATGACAGGTTTCATTAAAGCAATATGGCTGTCTTTACATGTGTGAAGATGAAAACATCTCAGCTTGAGGAAGAAACCTCATAGATTGGCAGAGCCGTGACAGTTGGGTTGACACTCTCTCTATAGAGAGAGTTGACACTCTCTCTGTATATGTACGTATATAATCCAAAGTGAGAAGGGTGTTTTTCACTGTACAGTTGCCAAATAGCTGCTTGTCAATTTATTATTCATTTGACATTGCAAATCTAAGGCATAAAAGTTGAAAAGGATCTAAGTAGTCATGTACATCACCAATAAATACCTTTCTAATTGCTGATGACATATTTACCAACATTATTGATGTTGACACTTAGGCAATAAATAAATATTTCATGTTTTCTGATGCATGACATACTGCAATTTTAAACTCCATGCTGCCTAAAACAGTTTTTGGTCTTGTCATCACATTAGACATCAGATCACTTTTTGGCTTCTTGTCAAAGATGTGGTACAAAATCAGTAAGAAACTCCATCAGTCTCAGGCTGCTTCACTGAGGGTGTAGGGCCTCTGATAAACAGGCAGAGATTGCCAACATCCACATAAACGGAAACAAAAAATTCCCTAAAAACATTTCTGAGTTGACTTGACATCCTTTCATAACATTTGTGTCAATCTCTTTCCTTTCTTCAAAAAATGCTTGGAGGCATAGCTGGTTTGCACACTACGTAGTTACTAACCTTTATTAATGTGCAAGAGCTAGGAATGAATATTTGTTTTATTAAAAAATTCTATTAACTTCCACCCTTTTTTATTTAATTTCTCTGAAATTGTAGTGTTTTAAATACAAAAGGAAGGTGGTGTTGTACTGAAACTGTATATTAACTAGCATATTTTGGATTCTTTCTGCAACTAGTAGATGAAGGGAGAGACTATGTCAGAAAAAAGACAAAGAGGGAATTGTGGAGGAGAAGGAAAAAATGAGGTGAAGAGGTAAGAAGATAAAGTGAAAGAGATCAGATGTGATCCTATGGGTTTTCCTGGCACCTGAATACTGCAGTGAGGGTGCCCAGGATTTGCTGAACTCCGTACCAGCCCATAGGTGAATGCTGTGACTTGAAGGGGCAGTTGCTTTTTCTCTTTGACAGAGGCAATGTGAGATGAACTCTGAGGATCACAGAGGAATGGAGAAAATCCTGTGCTATGTTATCCTATCCTATTTTTAGTGACAAAGCAGTATTAATCAGGTGTGTTATTTGTATATTATTTATATATTATATAGCTAACTTTTAATATTTATTCATATATGTAAATATAAATGTATGTATAGACAATGTGTACATAAACAACATTCATATCATCCTTTCCAGGAGTATTGTGCTTAAAGGAGTATGATTCCTTAAATGACTACCTCAACAACAATCCCACTGTGCTGCAAAATGTGGTAGAAAAAAGAATCTGGACCAGCAAAATCTGTTGTCCTCAAAGCCATTCATTGAGGAACATGCAGCTGTTTTGCTGAGAAAGCACAGGAGACAGATTAGGGAGATGGCAGGTGGAAAGAAGTGCCCCATTTTGAATGTTAACTTTCTTTCTTTTCTCCTTAGGGGATACGGCATTGGTGTAAGGCTGATTGATGATTTTTTAGCTCGTTCAGCTGTGAAAAAGTGCCGCAGTTATTCTGAAACTGCGGACATGATTGCACAGGTAAATAAGATTTACATTCTCTAGAGCCTCATCGGCTTCAGTGGTCTTAGCTTTTCCCTCCTCCTCTATCAGTTTGCTCCAGAAGAGTTATCTACATTTTCTGCTACATCATGATTTTCTTGTCAACAAACACTCATCTCCACACTCCCATGCTTCCACTGGGTGAACTACAGCCTTTTCCTTATCTGCAACTTCATATCAACTGGTAGCTCACAGAGGTTGACCTTGAGAGGAGGCATCAGTTTCTACCTCTGTAGCATAGTGCTACATCAGGCTGGAAAAAGACCAACATTCAAATGAACACAAAAAATGTGATGTTTAGTGAGATAAGAATTTTGCAGATAATCTTGGTAAACCCCCAGGGGTAAGTTTACCACAAAGGGTCATCAGAACCACAGAATTGTTTCACATGGTTATTAGTTTTATACCTAAGTTGAGGACAGAAGACACAAAATGGGATACCACCTGTGAGAGGCTGCCAGCCTGACCTAAAGTGACCTTAAATTCAGTTGCTAAGCTGAAACTAAAATTCTGTTCCTCGTAGCCTCTGAGGTATTTTTCCATTAGAAGAATTAAAAAGTTTATTTTTGTTTGCTGCAGCTTCAGCTGATTTCTTCTACTCTTACCAGAGCACGCAGCAAACAACAAAAAATGATCTAGTTTTAACAAACTACAAATCCTCTATTCCCTCACTTTTTTTCTTCTTCTAGGAGCATAAGCCTTAACCATCTCATATAGATCTCAAGCTTTGATATTCTTACTCCGGCCATGTGATTCTCCTCAGCATCTCCATAATTATCTTAGATATTTTTTAACCTTAAAATGGTAATATTAGGAATAAGCTGCAGGTTTTTCTGCAAAAGGAAGACTCAGTGGTAGCAGAGAAGAACTGTAAGAAAGGAAAATGAAAGGAACATTTTCCTCACTACCCTCAAATCTAACAATGAAATCAAAAAGATAAAATCAGAGTGGGTAATTTTGCTGCCTTTGGTGGAATTTTCTCTTTTATTGGGTAGTCTTTCTCACTACTGTCAGACAAGAAAGATCTAGGAGGAAATTTAGTGGCAATACATGGGGATCTAAAGATGTATTTTTGCCCCCACGGGCAAGTCAGATTTCCTGGGGGAGCTCAAAGAGAAATATGTAGGGAGTCCAGCCTCTTTAGTCTGGGTGGTAGTCTGAGGTGGTAATTCATAGATATTGAGTTAGCTCAGACTAATACCTGATCAGGTCATGGTGACTGATCCCTTTTATCCTTTATGATTTTCAGCTATGAAGTGTTGTAAGTGAAGATATGCCTGGCCTTTCCCAACGGCAAAAATTAACCACACTTTTTAACAGTTTGCTAGGTAGTTATTAAAGAGGACAGAGCAGGGCATCAGTTAGTTGAACTGAGATTCATTTCCATTGGCTCATTTTAGGAGACAAAAATATGCCTGGCATAATTTTGGTTGCTTGAGAATTACCAGCAGCATCAGCTAAATGTGAGCATTATGTTTAACTGCAGACTGCGGAACCAGGAAACAGCAGGGTCTCTATACAGTGAACTAAGGCACCAGTATATGCTGGTTATACAGGATTATCTTAGTTCAGCGTGTATGTGGATCTTATCAGGTGATGTGTGATCCTGCTGACATTAACCATGTCAGAAATACCTACGTTACATCTGAATGAAATGGAGGGACAGAAGTTATGCTATCATTCCAAAATGCTTGTCATAGAGGAACTGATGGCTGTCACAGAAATAGATAAAGGACCTCTTTGCATTTGCTGTTGCTGGTAGGGCTATAGAGTGCACACGTGCGCAACACAAATACACACCATGGTCTGCCAAAGTTTAAAGCAGAAGCAGGTGACATTACCAAAAACCAGCCAGATCCCATTAACTCATAAAGGAGTGGAAACTACATTTCTTCCTGAACGAAAGTGTATTTTGGAGTTCAAATAAGGATGATGTATAACAAAGCTCCTCCTTTGGAGGAGCTGAGCCGGGGTAGAGGATCCATTAGAGATAGTGAGGACAGTGGAATGAAAACCATGAGACAAGCAGCATTTCAATCACTATTATAATACGCTGTCTCATTAAAGGGATGATACTAGGCTGCAAAATCACATTTTGTTCACTTTTGCATTCTTCTCTCAGTGGTATTTGTACTTTATTTTCTCTGGATTTTCACATACATGCCAGATATCTGGTTTTCAGGGTCTTGTTCCTCATAGTTCCCTTATTTACAAGTGCTTTAATACAGTTGAGCCATCATTCTTAAGTACAGGGATTCAACAACAAAATACAGTTAGAAATTAACCATCAAAGTAAGGAAAAAGACACTATTTCTCTGCAGGTTGTACTTCAAAAGAAACTCAAACTTTAAAGCACACAGTCTCTTGAAAAGACTATTTGTAGCAAACTAAAAGAGGAGCTCTGTAGTAGAAATATAACCTTTCTGAGGCCAAAAGTGATACAGAAAGCTTTTTCACATTTCTTTGGCAAAACATTTTTTATATACTCTTCAAGCACATTTGTCTGAGGCACATACCAACAAAACATACGTAAAATGACCCAGCGAGTAACTGCAAATATGCTGTTAGAGTTGTCAGTTCAGAATCACACAGCTGTTTACATGATCTCTTTAACTCTTCAGCAGTAGTGTTCTCAGCCAGGAGAAAGTGCTTAAACACGTAACTGCATTAATTCTTCTAAGGTAGAAATCTGTTTGAGGATGAGTGTGAAGAGTAAAACCAGTTCAAAGTTAAAGTAATTAAGGCAGTTAAGCAGTTCGAGTAGGTAGAGCCCAATGTCCTGTAAACGTAGCTGCTATCCTGCAGTCCTTTGGAAAGCAAAGAAGAAGTCTGTAAGATAAGGCTGTGGGTGTTCCCTGTGGAAATGGAAAGAGATGAAACAAAGGAAAAAAAACATAAAATGAGGAGTTTTGGGCAGCTTGCCTTATTAAGAAATAAATACTAAAAGAAAGATGCATCTAAGGCAGTGACTGAGGGCTTAAAACTTCAACCACTGGTTCAGACCGCAAAGCCTGGGATTTACTGCTAGCTTATACTGGTCTGGAGAAAGGCCAATAAGTTTTGATGATGAGCCAAAGTGAGTCCTTTTAAGCTGAGTTCCCATGGTGCTCACTGACTTCTTCTGTTGGTGCTGTGACTTTGCGTGGTTACAGTTGGGGTAGAATAAAAAAAAAATAAACCAGGCCATTTAAAAGTAGGCTTTCTGCTCAGTGGCAAATTGGGATAAGAAAATGGAAACCAACTGAGGAATGGTAGTAAGAACAAAGCTCAGCTGAAGAAGTAATGTCCAAGACTGGATTCAGAATTTGGATCTAACTGAGGATTACTTTTGAAATGAGGGTGATAATTTTGCTCTATAATCCTAAAAAATCAAATTTTTCCTTCATTTCTTCCTCACAAGACCTCTAGCATCATTGATCTGGTCGAAAGTGATGCAAAAAATAAACGTGTCTGGTTTTAGATCTAATCCTAGAACACTGTTACCTGCTACAGCTCAATGTCGCCGTGCCCTGGGAAGTGTCTGTGTGTGTGTCTGTAAGATCACGCTGTGGGCGTTCCCTGTGGAAATGGAAAGAGATGAAGCAAAGGAAAAAAACATAAAACGAAGAGTTTTGGACAGCTTGCCTTATTAAGAAATAAATACTAAAAGAAAGGTGCACCTAAGACAGGTGGCAGCAGCCGTGCCGTGCCCCCTGTTCTACAGCGAGCTCGTAGGCTCCGTAGCTGTGTTAATACAGTGCCGTGCCTAAGGATACATCCCTTGCTTAAAAGCAGTGGCTGGAGAGATGGACTTTATTGTGGAAGCTCAGTACCCCAGGAATGCAGCAAACGTATGTCTCTGCAACTGCTTGTAGAGAGGCCCTTGGGTACCACCAGGGCTGGTGTAATCCAACCATGTCACCCCCAAGCCCAGAGTTGTAGGTCAAGAGATGTGATTCACCTTCCCATGGTAGGTCCTGCCACACAAGGTCCCTATATAGTGACATATGGCCAGTTTTGAAGTCTGACACAAGCTGGCAGAATTTACGAAACTGGTAAATGCTTTTCAGATCTCAGCGGTGAGAGGGAAATGCATACAGCAGGTTACTGTGCGAAGTGGTAGACAGTAAACTAAAAAATTAAGTGCTCCACTGTAAAAAGTAAAGAAAAGTTTGTGACTACATGGAATCAGCAACAGATGGCAAGATCTTTAAACCATCTTGCTCTTCCCAAACACTGACTGTGGAAAAGTACTAAGAATGAAAAATATGCTAGCAAAAATGTTACTGTGGCTGCCTTTCCTCTTATAAGCAGATTAAATCTAGTCCTTCATTAATCTTGTTATTATGTCATCTGAAATTATGGTTTCAATTTTTTTAACAGTCTGTATTATCACTTACTTTACAATATTACTTATGCATGCAATATTTTGTAGTGAAAAGTCCCCAGTAGTATATAAAGGGACTGATAAGTTAGTGGCCTTCTAAATATTTCAGTAATTCTAGACTGTATTTGAGCACCACCAAAATGTTAATGAATTTTATTCTCGCTGCTTGAGAAAGATGAGATGCTGGTTGAGACTTTGAAAAAGAGCAGTGGTACGTTTTTAATTCTGACTGCAGAGATTTCTTGTTTGACATTAAGCAATATATAATCCCATAAGAGTTGCAAGTAACGTTTTCAAAAGAGAGATTTTGCTTTATATGGGTGTTATTTTGACGGTGAGCCTATGTACATATCTAAATGGATATTCTTTTTTCTTCCATTTCATACAGATAGAAATGAAACAGATTTATGGATGCAATTTTCAAAACTACTCATGCGTTTTACTTCCCTGTCTTGGAGTCACAAAGAAAGATTGAAAAGACCTGTATTTTACCCTCTGAGAAGTTGTATATGGTAGTTTTAAAGGCATTTTTGTCCAGTCATAGCCTGCTTTTAAAAAAAAAAGTTCATATCTATTCATTGAATTACTTATCTATGTACTTAAATTATTTATT